CCCCCCCCCCCCCCGTGGGCCACAGCTTGGGCACTGATAGCCAGGGGCAGTCGCCCCGCCTGCTGGGCTGGTCTCTGGGGGCCACGAGGCCACACCCACGTAGCAGCCAGGGCTGGGGAAGGTTCCTCGTCTCCCCACCCTCTTCCTTCTTCGTCCCCACGGGCGTCTCCTCCTTTCCGCTTCCCCTTGCTCACTGTCCACAGGGCTCTGCTGAGCTCGGTGCCTCCGAGGATGAGCCCTACGAACGCCGTGTCCTCTGGCATCTAGTGGGTTCTGCCAGTGGGGGGAGCCGGCAGGGGGCACGGCCCCCGTCAGGTGCTCCCTCCCCGTGGCCGAGGTTCTCTTCTGGGCCAGTAGCTGCTCCTGCTGTGGCTACCGCAGCCTCACTGGCTGTCCCTGACCCTGCCCGCGCCCCTGCAAACTGCACGGTGACCCGTCTGCCCCCCGTAATGACTCAGTTTGAGCGCCAGGACGCTGACCCACGCGACTTGCTGCACCGCTGCCAGAGTCACGGTTCCGAACAACAAAGCTGACCCTGCCACCTCCTTGCTGAAAACACCTCTTGCGGAACTGCTCCTATAGGGCAAGCAGCAGCTCCTCAGGACCATGTGGGAGGGATCTCACAATCCAGCCCTGTCCTACCTCCCCCCCCACGGCCCACGCACACTGTGGCGTTCTGGTGCTCAGCGTGCCCTGAAAAGCAGTGCCTTTGCATTGCCTCGGGTCTTCGCTTACGATGTGTTCTCCCCTGGGAAAGTGTATCTCCCGCGTTCGGCCTGACAGATCCCTAGTAATCCTTTGAGGTCTTGCCCACAGGCCACCTCCTCCCAGAAGCCCCCGAGGCAGGGCTGTTTGCTTCTGTAGCCTGTGCTGCGAGCGTGAGTGTGGTTCCGCCCTGTGCCGCACGGCTGCCCTCTCCCCTAACGCAGCGGCCGGGCCTGGGAGGGGATCCGCTCGCGTCGGCTGCGAGGACAGCTGCTGACCCAGTGGGGCTCCAGGACAAGACACGAGGTGGACGAAGACGGGAGAACCACAGAAGGGGTGGGCCAGCCTCAGGGTCTCTCAGACTTCTGATACCATGGGGTGATTGCTCTCTGAAATCAAAATACAGACCCGGACCGCACACAGAGCTTGCAGAGTTCTCCCTGGCGTGGGCGAACCCTGGGCCTCGGCTTCCTGCGTGTCTTAAGGTGGCTGTAAGGTTTTCATCAGTTCGTGTATTCTGGTGTTGGGAAGCTTGGTCTGTCGGTTGACATGCTGTCTTTCCGGAATGGGTTCTGCCTTGGTTTTTGAACAGATGGCCGGATCAATCCTTAGTTTTGAAAATGCCCAGAGTGTGAAACAGCCTTTTTGCTCTCTGGTCCCTGTGCTCAGAGGGGAGAGGCTAGACACGGCCAGGCGCCTGCAGGGGTGCGGGCCGCGGGTGCGCCTGAAGGACACTGCGTCCTTCCTTCCGGGGCCCCTGGAGCCAGAGGCCCTGCTACCATCAGAGAGGGCTGCTGACAAAGTCCTGCCGCACCCCTTCCCTTTTCCGGAGGGGCCTCCCTCGGTGGACACCTGCTGGCTGGCCCCGCCCCCACGGCTCCGCCCCTCCTGCACAGAACCCACGTGGCTGTCCACCCTCCTTCCCCCCGCTGGCAGGGATGGGGGGACCCTTTAGGTCTCAGGGTGACGGCCCACACCTCTCACTCGCAGGTGACGGGTTCTGGACCAGGCAGGGGCACGTAAGGAGAGGTTGGCTGGGGGCTTCTGGGGAGGCTCCTCCCTTCCTTTCTGGAAGTTTCTGGAGGTGGCTCGCTCCCCAACCTCTTGGAGGCGAACGGAGAGGCCCGGAATGAGGTGCTCCTGGTAGCCATGCTGTGGGCACGAGGAGAGTCACTCCAGGTGATGCCCTCACGGCCAGCTGAGCAGGGGGACGCGGAGAGCCGGGCTTTGAGTGGCATGGCCGGGTCTGTGTGTCCATCCGTTGCGAGGCCACCATCACTCTAGATTTCAGAGCCAATACAGTTCCTTATTTTTTTTAATTTAATTTTTTTTTTTTTTTT